ACTGAAAATGTAGATAACAGCATAAGGAAAAAGCACAAGAGCCTGAAAATTTTGGAGTGTACCTGGTGACCCAGAAGAGGTCTAGAGTGGCTGGAGAACAGGATTCAGAGTGGGTTGTGCAGTGAGAGACAAGGGGGTTAAGGCTTTCCGGGTGCCTGGGACACTGCTATGGGTGGCCCCAAATGACTGTTTGGAATAAAACCAAAATCCTTTGGCAGGTTTCTGAGTAGGATAGTGGTATGACAAGATCTGCATTTAGGAATAACACTAACAGCTAGGTACAAAGTGGAGTGAGGACAGAGGATGCAGGGAAGGTGGGCTGTGATTTGGCTGCATGGAGGAAAAACTGCACTATGGCTGTCAATGTTTGTTCTTGCAAAAAGCTGAGAATTGAGAGAGAAGCAACAGAATATGAAAGATTTTTTTGAAAGTTGAAAAATCTGAAGACAGAACATGAATAGTGGCAGTGTTCAGAAGCAGCTAGAGATGCAGTGATGCACCAGGACTCTGGCAATAGACAGTATCAGCACTGAGGGTTAGAAAGAAAGTAGAATTTTTCATAGTCTGGTGAACAGGCAGCTCTTCTCTGTCAATGTGTTTGGAAGGCATAGACGATGGGATGCCTGCTCTGGGCAGCACATGGCTGGGTAAATAGCTTCTTTAGTGAAGTGCTCTTAAAGATATATAACATACTGCAGAGAGCTAACAAGCATGGGTTCTGGAAAGAGGCTTCCTGTAATCAAATTCTGATTCTGCAAGATAGTAACTGTGTCACTTGGTAGGCAGGTTACTTAAACTCTATGCCTTGGTTTTCCTATCCTTAAAATGGAAACACCACATACTTCATCAGAGTGCTGTAAAGATACATATAAGGTTTTTGGAACATAGTCTAGCACATAGTAAACGCTCCACAAATGTTAGCTATTCTTGTCACCGTGCATATGTATCAGGGAGGGACACAAGCTTATCGTGCTGTGTCCAATAGCCCTTTGAAGCATCGGTGCTATAGCTTAAGGAAGGCGATCGCTGAAGTCTCCCAGTCCTTGGCACATCAGCAGTAAACTATCCTGCAGAGACAGCATATCTTAACTATTATTCATAATGAATATCTTAAGTCTGGTTTGGAAAAAGGCAGATATGAGTAAGCTTTTAATTGGTAAATATTCTCAGTGATCCCCTTCAGTAAGCTAGTGTCAGTCTGTACGAGCACACCACCGTCTGGTATATATAAGCTCTTATACCCCCATCCATAAGAGTGGCTTTCTCTCCCCTAAAATACAGTCAGAGGTACACTGAAGGGCAAACCCCTCAGATAACCAACTTAGCTCTCTGAACAACCAGAACCTAGAACTCTATTCCCTCTCAAATTTGGAAGACCTCAAACAACACAGAAGAAAAATGAGTATAATGCATAATCAGATGAAAAGATTTTTTTTCACCAATCAGAAAGTGTCAATTTCTTTAAAAGTCCCCAATAAATTCATTTCATTTTTTTAAATTTTTTTAAAGATTTATTTATTTATGCACACAAAAGCTGGGGGACAGGCCAGAGATGTGGGGGATGAGAGGATCCACCAGAGACAGAATGGGGAACAGAACAGGCAGATTGAAACACACTGCTGAGGGTAGCAGCAGGCGAGACAGGAGAGGTCTGCCTCACCATGTGGGTTTCTCCCTGGCTGGCTGGGATTGCTTCATAGTGCGCTGCTTAACCCCTTGCACCACCAGAGAGGCCCTCATTTTTTTTTTAAAGAGCACTTGTTCCAAGGACAAGGAGTAGAGTGAGAGACGTCAGGTAGACCTTCCAACTGCACAGAAAATTTGCCACATGAAACCTAGTTCAATATGGAGCTTCCAATCACATACCTCCAAACCAGGAACTAGTTTTCCTAGTTCTCCTCCCTTTAACCATCACCCATTCTCCCAAGTTCCTTCCTATATATTTTAAAGTGTCAAATTTTATTTAAGTTTAAAGAATGACAAAAGGGCTTTATATCATTTTCCTTTCCTTTTTGCTGGGAGGAAATAATATAAGGATAGTTGTACTTTAAGACATCTGACAGTATAAAGATATCATCCTAGTAAGGATAAATTCTAATTACATGGTATCTGAGACAATATAGTCGTTACCATCTTGCTAAAGTCTCATAAACAGGTCATAACAACACTTGCCCTATCTCTGGCTCATTTTCCTGAGAACATTCTCCATTATTCACTGTCAAATGCTGAAGAGATGTCTATGGAGTGAGAATCCAGTCATTTCCTCAGTACAAGGGATAGAGTCTAATAAATTGAGATCTAAGAATGACTGCTTCAAGAATGTTTCCTGAAGAGATTTTGAAGGATATTGTACCAGAGAGGCAGTTTGAGCTACCCAAGTATGAGCTACTATCTGGGTTCATCTGCTGACATGATAAAGGAGCTTTAAACAATATTCCCTTTTTCAATGGGACAGAAAATGTTGTGTTTTTTTTTTTTCATTTAAACTAACAAATTTAAAATGAAGAAAGCTGGTCTACTTTAGATACATGTAAATATACATAGCAGATAGATAGAGAGAAGGTGTGAAAGTGAGCTAGCTGCATATTTTTTTTTTCTGTTGCTCTGGATAAAATACTCAAATTTTAAAAAAAATACAGCACTTCGCATTCATGGCCAGTATGATTTAAAACACACCTACTTTTATGAAAACAATCAGATAAGTAAGCGGAGCAGACTATTAAAAACAAATTAGTCTGTTTTAGAAGGAAAATATTCCACATTAACATTTTTGACTGGACAACATTTTACTTCCCAATAACGTCACAAGGCTCTACCTTCATTGACAGTGGTGTGTAAATCAATCAAAACACATTAATGTCTCTCATAGAATTAATCTGGAAGGCACTCATACTAAATGTTGGGTCAAAATCATTTGGAAAAAAAAAATCCCTAAAGTTCTATCAAATAATGCCTTTTTTTTTTTTTTTTTTTAGTAAATGAATCTAATATTCTTGACTTGTAGCTTAAGTCATCTTTACCTAGGATCCATCAATTTCAAGGCAGTCTGGTATAAGGGGAGGAAAACAGACTCTTCCATCGGATTATCTAACCTTGAATTTGGGTTCTGCCACTTGTTAGATCTAAGACCTCAGATCAGTTACTTAGCCTGAGTCTCAGTTTTCTTACCTATGAAATGGATGTCATAAAGCCATTGACCTCACACAGGGCTGTTATGAGGATAAACTGACCAAGCATATGTTAAATGACCATGCAAACATCTTATATCACATCCACTATGAGTCAATAACCAACAACTATATTGCAATTATAAGTTATTTTTAATAAAGTAAAAAAATGTAAGAATTAAACATTTATTCACTTTAGCATATAAATAGAAGCCAACTAGTTAGATTTAACATTATTCTAGGAGTCACCCTGGCATAGAGAGATGGCAAGGAGATAATGCCACTATTTTTTTAACAATACAGTATTATTAGCATAGACAAGTTCTTCCCAGATATAGTAATTCTAGTAGCATAACAAAGCCCAACATTTTTCACTGCTGGAAATTTAAACCAGTTACACAAGTCCATGAGAATCGTCCATTTATTGAACAAAGCAAAATTTTCCATGGAAATGTGTCTATCTACTTTTGCAGCAGAGGAAATGAGACATTCTCTGGTTTTTAGCCCAAAGAGAAAAAACTCAACAATTTCCCACATTAAAATGTACAGAGACAGCTCATCTAGAGTCAAGCATGCATTGAAGTATGGAGAAAACCTCCAACTAGCACAACTCCCCACTACTTAGTGAAACAAACCAGCCACTACCCAAGAAGAAACTGAAGCCATAAATTCAAATAAATGGGCTGCAGGGAGACTACACAAACCTGCTGTTGCTTTAATTGCAGACAATTCAATTCAGCAGCTGTTGGTCCAGGCACTAAGGTTCACTGTATGCTCTTCAGCGTAACCTTGAAATACTGTCACTCACTCACTTCTCCACATCATCTGCATGCTGTCCAATTAATGAGGAGTGAAATCAACTGTCAAACCATGCATCAAAACAGAACATGATCTTTTAGCTCTGAAGCACAATATTTTAAGGGCAATAAAGCAAGAATGGAGGTGAAGGTCCTTGACAATAAATGATATTCAAACTTATCAAAACATGGGGTTTGTTCAAGCTGAGCTTCTGTTCTGTTCAGCAAGAAAGTGAAACTTTCCCAAGGTTTTTCATTTGGAACAATCCCGCCTGTCTAGCTACTACATAAGAAGTCTTTTAAACAACATTCACCAATATTTGATCAGCCTTCCAGTGCTTAATTATTATGGACCATTATGTTTCTGAAAGCTTAAGAGAATACTTAAGGACGACTTGTGGCTCAATGGTATTCTATATTACAGATGACTTGAAGCAGGCATGTGTAGTCTTGCTGTTTCCAGCATTCATTTTTTCTACCAGGAGAATAAACAAACAACAACAATATATAATTTTCATCAATCTGAGTTAAATAATAAAACAGAAACAAATTTACCCAGCAACGTGTTCTGCAATGCTTCCTATCTGAAGTTTCCTTATTCCTTACTTAACATCCCAATTCTAGACAACCAATTAACAAACACAAGAGTTAATAAACTCTAGAGAAGCACAACATACTCAGCGTTCAAAAATTGCTTTTTGCTTCCAAAGCACTGTGTCTTCTGTGCAAACACTCTAGGCTATATTGCATACTACCAGTTGCAGACATAGGACTTGAGAAATTCAATACAAGAATACAGCAGAGAAGCGTGCACAATTAAGGGATCGGAACTACGAATTTCACAGAAAGCCCAGATTTTACACAGCAATTTGCCACAAACATTATAGCTAGGAGCAAGCATGTTTTATGCAGCTATTTTCTTTAGCTCATCAGAAACCTATATGTCCTTCAGTACATTTGAAACTAGAGGCAAAACAAGAGAGGAATGCACTTTGAAACAAAAGAGAAATTTCAGATAAAATAAAGCATACTGTACCTGTATATTGTACCAGGAACATCGTGACACTCTTCAGGGAACTGTTTCACGTTGTATCCTATCGTAAGTTATTCTCCCTTTACCCTCTTCTCCACAAAAAGAAAAGCCAAAGCACCCCAAACGCCCACTACACACTACCCCTAGCCCACCACCCCATTGAAAGGGGAAAGAAAGCAGCCACAATTCAGCTCAGATCCGATGCTTCTGTTTAGCTCAGCTCCAGCCGAGCAACTGAGCTCTAGCAACGGAGCAGAGGGAGGTGGATTCTGATGCCAGTAGTACTTCCATCCACTTCACTTACACAAAAGCAGGCAGTGGAAAATCCAGGAGCCTTGAAGACAAGGGCTGGGACTGGCTTTTATGAATTGCTATTACTGCATGTGTCACCATCCATCTCCAATGACGGACACTTACAGCCTGAATTGGGAGTGGAGGGGGTGGGGTGGAGGAGGTTGGAGAGCAGGTGGAGAAGCAATTAGCAGTATGTTCATCGGAGAATTCGTTCGGGATTTCATACATCAGTGCCTAAAGAAACAGCATGCAGTTGACAAATCAGAACTTTACGATTTGCATGCCTTAGAAGAAATCTTAGCTCGCAGCCCAAAACCAAATAATGCTTTTCCACTGTTAGACAGCATGGAAAGTCACCCCTCTGCTTTCTCTTTCCTTCAGCTCCCCTTGTTTCTAAGAAATCAACATTCAGGATGAATATTTGCTAATTTTCCCCAAAGAATTGTATTTAAAAGGCTGGAAGCAAAGGCAGTATAAAGAAATTAAATTCTATTGAACATGACATCTTTTAACAAAAAGGCAAGAAGCTAATTATTTTGAGCCAACTTTTCATCCCTAGTCCCATTCCCCAGGTGCAGCTTTCACACCTATAATCAGTGGTTCACACAACTTTTATGCATATGTTTAACACAGAAAAACAATCTATGTCTACCTAAAAATAGTTCAATTAAAGTCAAGGTGAAAACCTAAATGCTTCATGCAAAACTCACGCCATAGGTGACCTGAAGGAGGCACTTTACCTGTAAGTGCTTTAGTTTCACTCGCCTGCTAAATTGAAGCATCATTTCTAGACTGATTCCATAATTAATTATAAGTAGGAACAAAAAGGAGAGTCTCTTAGGAAGGAAACGTGACAATCGAAAGAGAACCGGTGCTGGGCATCAGGCAAGCAGAGTTCAGGCTCCAATTGTACAACAGCTTTGCTGTGTGACCCTAGGCGAGTCACTTCACCACTCTGAGCCTAAGTACCCTTACATACCAACTGCTCATAATAGCACTCATCCCGACTGTTTCACATTGCTGTGAAGAGCAAATGAGATAATAGATACGAAAATGCTTTTGAAAACTGTAAAGGGATATACAATTGTAAGGGATTACTTCAAGGTATAATAATACCTTGAAACAAATCTCACCTAAATGACTAAAGTGAGGCAGCTCTATCAGATAAGAAAAGCAAAATAACTAATATAATTCCATAAAAGCTTCGCCAATTCTCCCAAATTTAGAATTAATAGGAAGCACTGTTAGCTCTTAATATTCCACCAAGGGGACTTTTTTTAAGAAGAAAAAATTAAAAACCTGATATATAATATACTGAAAGTTTATTAAAGAGACCGCAGTCCTCTAAATTCTTCTTTCTTTCTTTCTGAGAAGTCAGCCCATTTGTTTTTTTTTTTTTTCTTTTTGGTATGTTCTAGTATTATGCCCCATCTAGAATGCAATCTACTGAGCAACGAACATCTCCTTTTGTTAAATCTTTCTATTAACCTGATATCCTCACTGCCCAGTGTGTGTGGGGGGATTCAGGTTAACTAGCTAAGTCTAAATCCACAAGGTAAAAATCCAAAGTCATGTTTTATGAGCCTCCAAGCTGCCTTGATACTATATATACAGTGACCAGCTGGCTTAAGCTGGGACACAATTTTAGCACATGAAGTCCTGGGGTGGCCACACCTGAGGCACTAAATGATCCAAGCAATGTTTGGGGACCTTTGGTTCAGCCAAATCCCACATGTCCTGATTTCCATCTGTATGGTGGTTACCCAAGTGTATGCCTGTCCACATGGGCCAAATCTGAGGCAGCCAAAAGAAAGGTGGGAGTTATAGCAGAAATATCAGATGTCAGCTCCCCTTGGCCCTCTCTAATGCCATCTGTGTCCCCAAACAAGTGCCCAGCCCACTTCCTGTAAGAAGAAAACTTTTCTAATGCCCCTGTGAATGCCATTGCCAACACTGAAAATGCCAGTAAAACATATATCCAAAATCTATGTTGAATCAATGGGGGAAATGGATAATATGAATCACAAAGAGGTGGTCAGTGGCTAGAAACAAGTGTGCTCATTAAAAGGGGACAGGGGAGGAGGGATGGGTAAGGAGCAGGAAAGGGGAAGAGGGACAAATGAATCTAAAGCGAGATTTGTTGTTGTTGTTTTTTTTTTCCTAATCAGAAACACACTTGCTGGAATCATCCAAAACTGCTTTGGTATATGGTCAAGAGCTTGAAAAGGCACCAACAGCCCTAGCACCAGAACTCCACTTTCTTTAGCCTGTGGGCAGCCAGGCAGGTGGGATACACTTCCCCAGGGTCCTCATCACTGCAACCCTCCTCCACAGCCTCTCCTGTGACTTTGCTGGCCACTGAAAAGGTGCCATCGCAATTTTAAGTTTAGCAAAGGGGACTTGCCTGAGATTTTAAAATCATACTAGTAAGAAAGAAACAAAGGTTGCATTTCAGAATCAGGTTGTTCTGCCTTTGGGTGTTGCATCTGAACTCCTCCTTATTGAAGCTTGAAATTCATATTCCTCAAGTTCCTCAGAAGGACATTCAAAGTAAAGGGACAAGTAGGGGAAGACAATTTTGTTGTTAGCTCTTTTCCCACAGTCAAAGGATGAGGATCATATCAACAACGTGACTGAAAGCATGTTCCAAAAGGCAATGAGGTGGGAGGCAGCAGGCTCACCCAAATTAACAAGAACGGCAATGAAAGCATCAAGCACCCCGATAAAAACAAACACATAAACATACACATGCAAAAAAAACCCGTTGTAATGTTTCCATTACCCATAATTCAAGCTCCACACTGTCAGCACTAACGGTCTCCTTAATCTACCCGAATCGCCAAATCTGAGTGATCTTTTCAAATGAATTCCCATCATTAACCACCTTGGGTACTTCGTATGCCAAAAACAAAGATCTCAGTGGGTGATTTCAAAGAACCAAGAACTTGAACCAAACCATTCGCCTACATGTGGAGAAAAATACACTACATTGCTAAACTCCAAAGAAAATAGAAATTTTAACAGTTTGAAAGCAGCAACAACCAGTGAATTGATTTGAACCACAACAAATATTTGATTGTTTTCTAAATCAATTATTTTTGTGTTGGTAAAGCATTGGTTAAGAGTGTGCTGACAGTCTAATCAGTTCAAGCTTCTGCAAAGAACACATATGAAGACTTGGTTTCAGAACGAACATTGGGTAAGGAATTGGGAGAAGTGATGTTTTCACTGCTTCACCTTGGTCAAGTCACTTGTACTCACTTAGACTCAGTTCATTTGCCTTGAAATGGCTGCGTGGAGATGACTAGTGTGCCAGGTCTGCTAGTCTATGACAATTACAACATTTAGTCTAGTGACTAAATAGATGATGTCACAATTTGGCCCTAATCTCCAGGAAGCAGAAAGATGTACCATCCAGCCTCTCCTAAAGGTTCATGTTTCTTATTTTGAAATATGCTTTACATAAAAGTTGGACATCTGTCCTTGCTCAGCCTTGGGAATTCGCTTTTCAGAACATTTCTTTTCAAAAAATGTTTCAGGAGCAGTTTGTTTTCCCAAGTGGAAGCTACAGAAAAGTTCCCAAGGGGAAGAAGACAGGAAAGTGACCTAGAATAGCTGAGCACCTTGAGCATTCCAGATGTATCGCGATACTTTAATTTTCACAACACAGGGTCACTATTATTATTTTTGTTTTATAGGCAATGAAACCGAGCCCAACTGCACTTTAACTTGCTTGTTGTCACTCAAATGGTAAAGTGATAGGACTGGGATTTTGAACTCAAGTAATCTCAGTTCATACCATATCAACACTCTAATGATTAAAATCTCAATGACTTCTGATTCAGTTGGGCTGCTTAGTGAATAAATCGCTCACTATGTCAAAGGAGTGAAAGTAGACTTTCTTGCATTTATACTGAGTTGACAACTAAGGAACATTTCAGGGCCTCCGTGGTGGCGCAGGGGGTTGAGCACCGCACTATGAAGCAATCCGCAGCCTCTGCAACACGAGTTCAATCCCTGGCTGGCACAGGGAGCAACCCACATGGCGCAGCAGACCTCTCCTGTCTCGCCCGCTGCTCCCCTCAGCAGTGTATTTAGGTCAGTCTGCCTGTTCTGCTCCCCACTCTGTCTCTGGTGAATCCTCTCACCACCACCACCCCCCATCTCTGGCCTGTACCCCAGTTCTTATATGCATAAATAAATCTTAAAAAAAAAAAGAAACATTTCATCTGACAATGTGGCAAAATGGTTACAACCACTGGATTCTGGGGTCAGACAAACTTGTTTCTTGAATTCTGCCTTATGGACAGGTACTTACCCAGTCTGATTCTCAAATTTTCTTATGTAGTAAGTGGGGACAGAAGTAGAGAAAGTGTCAGTGATGTAATTTCAGGTAGCACAGTGCCTGGCACAAAGTAATTAATAAATGCAGTTTAGAGCTACCCTTGTATTCATACGCCACAGAACAAGAAAGGAAAGGTCATAAAGAAAAAAGGAATTTATTGACCTCATGTGTTCTTTGGCCTATATATCAAACATACAGTTTAAAAGAGGTTTTCAGTGGCCCTCCTATACTCTCCCAAACTAAGCTGTCTTTTAGATTAGCATATTCATGAAGCAACATGAATATATCAATTGGTTGTGCCTAAGTACTAGCAAGAAGACTCATCATGTGCTCTGCTGAGCAGCAATCGTCCCTAGTTTTCTGAAACCTATCCTTCTAGAGAGGGTTGGAAAGCAGCAGATAGAAGTGCTGCTGGAAGGACCAGGTGGACTAAGACAAGCTTTTCCCAATTCTCCAAGCCCCGGTTTCTCTCTCCCATTCACTTGTGACCATCATCTTCTCATCACCCCTCCTCACTGAGTTTATTCTAGTTTTACTGTGATTCTTTCCTTGGTTCTAGCTCTGTCTCTGCTCATCAGCATCAAGCGGTATTTA